TGCTGTTATTTTAGGGGTCCAAATATTTTTCTTAAAATAACAAAATACCTTTGTATGATCTCTGACGTATCTAAAAGAACAGATTCATAGCTTGCACTTTCGAAAAGTCAGAGTATCGAGAAATATCGCTTAAATCGCGTGTATTCGTGTCGATGATAACCGACTAGTCTTCCTTCCGCGATTCTGCCGTAATAGTATTTGTCGTAATACGTAGAAGCAAACGGACGGAAGAATACACCACTCACGGCATGGGTATAATGAGAACGTTAGAGGCGGGATAGTCCACGAGGGGTGCCATTATCGGTCGTGTGCGACGACGTGTCGAGGCTGCGCGAAGTCGCGTGCAGCTCGTTAAATTCTTCGGCCGGTGAATGGGACGCGACCACGATTCTGTGAAATTGTGCGATCAATCGTTACAGAAAGTCCCGACTTTCAAATACCGCCCGCAGTGTCAGTTTAAGGCCTACGTCACGGTGGCCATATGCTTGAGATTTTTTTTAATCAAACCAAATATGAGACTTTTCTTCGTCAATAACTAATAATAATGATTTTTATTCGATACAATTTATCACGACTTCTAAATTCATGACTTGATTTAGCACAATATGACCAGAGAGAAAGAGGGAGAAGTTATTTATTGATGAAAAGCAATTTATTGATTTCAGGACTTATACTAGATTTACACCTGAAAACGATCAAAATCAATGATCGAAATGTCGTGACAACTGTATTTAATAAATTGGTCAGTTGGATCGAATAAAAATCATTATTTTTTCGATCAATCTCGCATCGGTGTTATAAAACCTGCTAAAAGCTTTTAAAAACAATTCGCATTAAAAGCTGCTCGAGGTTTCTCAATAGACTTTGTTAAATTCTATAATCAACAATAGGATATTCTAATAGCATGATGTCCTCGATTTAGATTTCCCAGATACCCTAATACCAAGTTGTAGTCAAATCCTCACAAATTTTTAGCATTATTACAAAAAAATTATCTCACAAAATTAAGATTGATGTTAGAAGAGTATAATTATACAGATCTCCGCATTTTCTTTCTGCTATATCTCTAAAAGAAAGAAGTACATCACTCGTAATGCAGTAAGTCGACTTTAGGGTAAGTATAATGACTCCCTATCTTTTTGCGTGCTCGCTTTAAGCGCGCGAGAAAGAAAGAGAAGCTGAATGACGATTATAACATGGCACGTGCCTCTTCAGAGACCTCATGCCAGCAAGCACACGACCGCCGAAAGCTAGCCGATCGTGCGAGGCACAATTAATTTATTGTTTGCGCCGGCCGAGTGACAATCGGGGTCGCGCGGCAGAAAAGCGGGATCGTTGCCTCGCCGTGTTTGTGGGACGAGGAATCCCCGCTGGATGCTGCGCGACGCGGATCGCTTTTGTGTGTGTGATCCCGCACGCTCGATCTCGCTCGCTGCTCTTAATTTAATCGTGAGAATCTCGCGAAACTGAATTACCTGAAATGTCCATTATTGCCTTTCAACGCTTTCCTGACAGAATGCTTCCTCTACACTCTACATCGATTGTTCGGCCGAACCTATTCTTTTCGCCTTTTTTTTATCATATAACACGCATTCGATTGAAAATGCAAATCCGGAGCAGTCGAGTCGTAATATAAGCGTGAGAATTCGCGCAACTCTAAATTGCTTGAAACACCCGTGGAAGTTGCTTCAACAAGAGTCTTCTTTGAATGTCTTTTTTATCCATCGTCCCATATTTTTCGATCAATTTTTATAATCAAATTTGGATTTTGTAATGTATAAAATTGTATATAATAATAATGCGGACTTTTTTCAGTTGTCCAGAAATTTATAAATTTAATAAATGTTAAATCGATTTATTAGGGGATTAAGAACGATACAATATACAATATTTCCATTCTACTTACTTGCATATAGCTGCTAAGTGTCTCGTCTCTTTTGACAAAGAATAGCATTACTTCATTTAATTATTAATATTTTACTTATAAAACACGGTACTTGCATGATCTTAAGATATAGAAGCAGGAAGACAAGTAAAAAATACCATTTTTCAGAGGAAAATATGATATACTTTCTTGTATGTACGTATGTAGTGCTACACTTTTACAATATGTACAATGCTTGACACGGACATTGCCGTGATTCTCGCTATACGAAATCTCACACACTTTACATTGATATAAATAATCAGGCCTGCATTGTGACATATGTATAGTCGGCGTTAAAATGGTCGAGACTTTTTTTTCTCGCGTTCCGAGAGAGATATTATTAAAAGAACAATTATAGGTTTCGGGTTTTCTTTTTTGATGCCGATTATACATGCGCGTCGTTTTATATTATACAGCATAGTCTATGATGTAATAATTTCTATCTGTAATAAAATATCTCGCGGCGGTTAAAAAGTATTGGATTTTGCGCTACGCGTTTAGATACATTTACAGTACTCGCTCTTCTATCTTTATTGGATACTCGTACTTAAATATAAGCGCGATTAAAAATATAATACTAATTCTTCGATAAAAAGAGCGTAAATTTCTTTGGTCGATTGGCACAAGCACCGGTCAGTCTTCGCGGATCGACATAAGTGCTACTATATATACAATTAATTTTAATTAATTAGAATAATTTACACGTCTACAGTATTTACATTCGAGAAAAGATCTCGCATTAATGGTACAACAACAACGCATAATAGCCTGATTAGTATATTGTTTAATATTAGAATACCTTATTTCAACGCTTGCAAAAATTGAAAGGATGAAAATGACTAATATAAAATTATACAAAATTTATTTACAAAATTTTTCACAGAAAATTTTGACGGGTTATATCGCCAAAACGGCTTGAGATATGGAAGGAAGATGTAAGATAAAATTGAATAATTTCAGCTATTCTGACTTTGTGCCTTTGAAACTTTGTGTTTTTTAAAACATTATTCGACGCAATTCTTTATTCCTTATAAAAAAAGCATTACAATATTTCCATAAAAATTATTAAGTTAAGCGTTATTTTAATTTAAAATTTATAAAATATTATTTATCTGTTTTGTTTTTAAGAAAAAAATGCAATTTTTGCATGCACGCGCATAAATGCGTAATAATAATGCGAAAAATTAGAACAGCTAAAACCATTTAATTTTGCTATATTTTTTTATCAAACCTTTTTGATGATATAACCCGTCAGTGGAACAAAAATTTATTTAGGACTTTATATATTCAATGTACATTAACTTCAATATACAGAGTGCCCCGAATCCGCGTACACGGAATGCACAGTGTGGTTCTCTGTGTCAGAAGAAGTATAAGCCTTTTCTTGCGGTAAAATTGCGAACTGACTTAAAAACTCAGATGCAATTTTGCCCGAGGAAAATGTTGCTTCTTCTAACACAGATAATCGCACTGTGTATTCCACTGCGCGAATTTTGAAACATTCGATATATCAATTTACTATACATATATTAAAATTTATTTAGAATTATATTTTCTAATATAAATAAACTTTATATAGAATTCTTATATTCCATTTCACGATATCTTAAGAGGTTTGTGAAAATCAATATACATATATCTTTTGCTCTTGCTTTCAATTTTTCATATATGGCTTTCAAATTCAAACGTTCGAATATTAATTAATATTTCACGTCCGGTATTTTCGTCGAATTACTCCTCGTGGAGCCTTCACGAAATTCGCGTCCAGCGCGTGTAAAATATTCTTAACTCCTTCCTACGCGGTGCTCCCGACGATCACTATTGTGAAGTACTTAAGTGGAGCTGGATTAAAACATCGCGAATCATTATTGTCTCATCTCGAGATATGTGATACAAAGTACGTACAAAGGAGTTGAGCCTCTTCAAGTCATTAATATCTTAAACTTCATCCACATTAATTTTATTCACAGTGACTCGGCTAGCGTTATCCGCGTTTAATAGTAATTATACTACACTGACATGTCTACTTTCTTATATTGTATTCATCGAAGTCGCATTGATGTTCGAATCGCTGTTGGAAGCATTGTTCATATCGTTACAATGCAATCGGAATTGATTCCATCGAGCTTTTATAGTTGTCATTTGAATTATCCATGAAAAAATAACGATAATAGTACTATATTCATTATTTTATTTTGTATTTTTTCTTGAATTTTTATTCCAGTAGTATTTATTAAAGCTGCGATAGAATGTTGAAATCAAACAGATTCGCTTTCACCGCCACTGCAGTCGTCAACGTCGCTATCATTGAGATTCTACTGCGATAACGTGATAATACGAGTAAAAACGATATAGAATTATGACCAGAGTCAGTTACGTGTTTCCCAAAGCTTAGCTCACAAATGGAACGCCGGTTTTGCCGCAACTCATCCTTTTTCTCTACGTGAAATTTTGTGAAGCATCTATCACACAAAAAAATACCTTTAATTAAATAATATTTTATCATATTCTTATCGAACTCGCGCGAAAATTATTTTTATCGAGAACTTCCGCATGCAGATAAATATATAGATAGTAAGATTAAATTCGACGTACGCGTCGGAATAAGTCTAATGTAAAAACAATGATTTTTTTGACGGTTGCATCATTTAATAACAATATTATCACCTTATGGCACTGATTTTCTAGCAGCAATTACGAATTACCTTTTACGGTCGAGACACTCCGTTCCTCTATCTTCCATAGTCGTTTGTAGGGCGTGACGTAGGTGACGTGAGACTCAGTTGGGTTGTACGATTCATTGTTCATCTGATGCCCAGCGTATTGCTCTCCAGCACATTCCGACGTTGCGCAATGACGCTGCTGTTGTTGATGATGATGACGGTGATGATGATGATGATGCCCGCACGCGCCATCGTCGCAAGCCGCGTCGAAGTGCTACGCGCAGGGCACCTCGAATTGATGTCAGTGAACAAACTGATGATGCGTCTCGTAATGAGGCTGATGGTGCAGCGGCGGCGTACCGCCGCTCACCGGTGCCGTCTGATGCGCGTGTAGCTCTTGGGGAACGGTGCTGGGACTGTACTGTTGAGAGTCGACGATGACGCTAGTGTAGCCGGCCGACGAGGCCTCCAAATGATGGTGATGAGGATGCTTCACCGTTCCGTTGCCGTTGCTGTGGTGAACCTGAGGGTGATTCTGCTGGTAACCGTCGTGGTGCTGAAGCGCCGCGGCGTTATAGCTCTCGTTGTTGTTGAAACCGCAGGTCGGGTACATGATTACGCCTCCAGCCTCGTTCAACGTCGTCGACGATGTCGAGTCCGGCGGCATATGGTGATGATGATGGGATGTGTGGTATCCTGACGGCAGTAGGGAATTCGTCAAGTGCACGTCCAGACCGTCGGTGCTACCGCAGGAGCTCGAGGATGTCGAGTAAGGTCGCTTCTGTTGGCCGCTCTGAGGGCTGTGCTGCTGTTGCTGTTGCTGCTCGAGGGTCGTCAAAGAGGTCGCACTCTGATGCAGCAGATGCTGCTGAGGATGCTGTCGTTTCTGCTGGTTGTTCTGCGGGCTGTGCTGCTGAATAGTCAGGGACGTGGCGTGATGCAGAAGGTGCTGTTGGTGCGTGTCTTGTTGGTGCTGCAGGGTGTTTACGGGGTCTTGGTGGAGGTCTCGAGATTACAAAATAGAGGGTTAAAATTGAATAAACTGTAATCCTTATAGGATTAATGAAAGATTAATATGATCAAAAGTCTTTCATCACTCCTGACGGATATTTTTACATTGTAACAGAATATACCGTTATACTTATCTATGCCTGATTACGTATAAATTTTATACGATAATATTTCAAGATAGAATATTTTTATAGAAATAATGACCCTTCCTTTTTTTCTCCAGAAAAAAATAGCGTCCAGAAAAAAAACGCGTCCTTCGCTTGATCTTTATTGTGTTATGTATTTCAGTATTTAACAGTCTATATATAATTTGTAAGAAAAAAATATAGAAACTCAGACACTATTACTGAACCCAAAGCCTGTTTTAGACGATCTATATATTTTAGGGACTTTATTTACAGTTTTATTCATTTTAATTCGCTATCTCCAAACATAGGTGAATTTCCAAGATGTAAATCAATTGTGAGACTCACCATTGTACTGGTAGAATAAATCCGGACTGTAGTAAGCGCTGTCCTCGTGCGCCGCACCATTGATACTATGCGGCGCATATGGCGAGGATGACAGGTAGTGGTTGTGATTGGTCGAACTTGCCATGTACTCCGAGTTTGGGTAACCGGAACTGTCGGCGTAATCGGTATCGGGTGGTTCCTTGGTCCTACTGCGGTAAGAAGGCGGGCTTGGGCTGTGATTGTCCAGATCACCAATCGTCGACACTGGAGCGCTCGGTGGATTTCCTGGACTCGAGCAGGACGACTTTTGTTCGCAGTTCAGGATAAGGCCCGTGCTCTCGGTGGCCGTCAAGACGTAGTTGACGGACACGATGCAGTGCGGACGCGAGCTTCGTGAATTGTGCACAATCGTCACGTACGACTGCATCCACACCCAACCGCTAGTTTTTGTTAGAAACCTGTAGTACCTCGTTGTCACCTGACCTTTGCGCAACACTGTCAACAAAACAACGGTACCCACCAATTTTTAGCGAAGAATTAACGTCGCGTTTGATGATTATAAAAATTTACGACGTATAATCTACATCGTATTATATTAATGAATAATAAATTAACAACATAAAAAAATTTAACGAAATTTTATAAGACTGATGTATGAGAGAAAATCAAATGTCATCGTTAGTTTAACGCTATCTCTGATGACGGGGCTAGGATAAAAAATGAACGAAAATAAGAATTATTATGAAATTGGAAGGAAAAATTTTAATAATTCAAAAAGGAAGGATTGTGTCTTTCATTTGCTTCTCAAGAAAAATCCTAGGTATCTATGTCGTCGCCGTCATCACGTGCAATGACGGAAAAAAAATCGAGCGGAATGGCATTTGCGATGTCGCGCAATCCTCAGGCGCAGACATTAGCGGCATTATGTCAGACTCCCTTCGAGTCGCGCTCGTGAAACTGCGAGTCTGTTCAAACAGTGATAGCAGTAACAGCCTTCTACCTCGCTCACACCTCTCGCTAAACCTCCCTCGCTTCTACCCGCTCGTCGCTCTTATCGTCACTCTCACCCTCTCTCTCTTTCTCTCTCTCTTTCGCGCGCATAGACGCGTACCCAGCAGCCGTCTCTTTTCGTCGGCGCGCCGTGGCAACGTTGTTCAATCAATAATGTACACCCTAGGTGCACCACGTGTCCACATACTTAGAATAAGCGCGTGTGACGGCGCTCCGAGGAGAAAGAGGAAAAATGGAAAAGAGTGGAAATACGCTGTAGCTATCCGCGCGCAAGTGGCACGTAAGATCAAAGGATGTTTCGTAAGGGTGTCGGTGAGTTAAGCAGCGTCAGCTACTCTCAGTCTACAAAGAGCTTATCCTCATCGACGTATTGTGTCGACGTCGTTTGAAAGGATCCGCGCCGGACCGTCGGTCAACGGCGAAACTATCGAAGGAAAATATTTTCGAGCGTTTGTGTTTCCGGTGTTATTATTCAGACAGAAATAGGTGACCTTTAAATCGGGAAAACACGAGCGAAAATGTAAAAGCATAATCTGCGAAAAGCAGAGAGATCCTGCGGCTGGTAATCGCACACGTAAAAAGAAAAGTTGGATGAAACCTTTTTTATCAATAAATATTTTCGGCAAAGATACCCATGTTAATACAAAATAAAACATTACAGCAAGCTGAAGATTACAAAATAGATTTGCAATTTGTTAGATAGATAACTAAGGAAAAAAAATCTAACTAAATTAAATTGACGAGTATACAGCTACATTAAATTGATAACAAAAAATAAATTAAACATTCTCTGCTTTTATCACTAAACAGATTATTATAAATGATAGCAGATGTTAGGATATTAGTGAAATTACTTTATTCGTCCGATAATGAATTGCATCTAATAACACATAATGAAATACTTACAAACATGATGAGCATGTCGCAGCTGCAGAACGTCGCATGTGTGCACGTAGTGGTATAACGTTTTCTCAATTAGGTCCGGTGGATCGTAGCCTGTTAATTGAGCGACTCTGTAACAACACCCAAGACACCATATTATACATAATACCATATATCCATCTCCTCTTTAGCGAGTTACTTTCTCCGTTTCGCCCAATACCAATCCGCGTATATCAAAAAGCTTACATATTATATTTTCTCTAAAGAGAATCATTAAAAAATTTTCCCTGAGAAGTATATTTTTATTTAAATTAAATATCATTTTTTTATTTTCATTTCAATGCAATTTTGTCGTAAAGGGATGCGTATATTGTGTAAATTGTGTAAAATACTACCGCGGTTATTCCCCGTGTAACTCGCTGCACCCGATATCACTCACGCAGCGTTCCAACGCGGAGATACAGACCAAAAGACCACAGAGGATAGGTCCGCTCTCCGCTGATCGCTTTCCGCGGATCGGGGCTTGTTTTCGTCGGGATTTACGTTGCGAGCGTCGCGAGTTTGCACAATCCGCGTGAGCCGATTCCGATCGACGGTATGTATAAAATTTCATCGCGCGCTTCTATCCGTGCTATATTTATACTGCGTCACGTGTTCGTTCCCAGTACAAGCGAACGGGTGTGTATAGGGCTCGCCGGGACCGCCGGTGGTGGATATTTATTTGCCGTGGATGGAGAGGAAAAAAAAAGAGGATACGCGGCAGCACGGTAACACGAAACTGATTTTAATGGCCGTATCCCTCTCAACCGGGGGCAATGCGCGGGCCTTCCATCGAAATATTAATGGCGCAATACGACACCCAACTATAATTACATTGGAAATAAATAATCCACTGTGTCCCGGTGCTCGAGTCAACACCGCTCGCTTCCTCCAGCAGCGCGAGGAGATCCGGAGAAAAAAGATTTATTCAAGAAATAGTGTTTTTTGCTGATTATAAATTTTATACACAGATATAATAATGTTAATATATTTATAATTATTAATTTTAGCATTATATTGTAATACTATATTCGTGTCTTTATAGTAGACGTAGACACATAATTCTCTAGTTGATTTGTTTTAACTGAGAGACTTTCACGTTTGGAAGCTATTAATTGACCATCAGTTTCTATTTATTTCTTTTGCAATTAATGACAAAGAAAAAAGAGGGATGATGCGTAGCTCCATGCAGAACCGATCGACTTATAAGACGGCTACAGAATTTAATCCCGATCTTTATCCCATGTATGATGAATGATAACCTACTTTGGAAATTCTATTGTACATTACGTATTGTACAGAAGTAAACATGAAAGCGACTTTGTATAATAATAGACATAAGAAATTTTATAATTCTTTAAAGAAAATATTGCAAGAAATTTATATATATAAATATAACTATCTTACCTTGCATCGAGGAATATGAGCTTCAGATCGAGCGAAGCTCGGAACATGAACATGTTGTGATGCAATTTAATCTCGGTTATGGAACTCGTCGGCAGCGAGTGGCCGACCGCCATTAAACCGACATTACGGATGCATCGTCCGACGCCGTCCTCATATTCGGATCCGATGGGAGCCTCCACGATGCATTTTAAATAGCCGGAACAGTGTATGACCTAAACAAATCAAATCAAAAAGATCACTGATATATGTTTCGCTTTTTCAAAAACTTCTCAAAGGCATACAATCTTTTAGAATCTCTCAAATTATACAACACGTCAAATTTTGACAACGATAACTTGTTTAAGTAGAAAATTGTGTAAAAAGTTATTATTGTGAAAATTCTATATATTTCATCTTCATAAAAAAACCCGAATTTTTTTAAATTAAAATTGTATTTGAATACTTTTTAATACTGCTTAAAGATACCTTGAGAGAGGATGGGATGAAAGAAGTTTCTTCTTATCTTCTCTCAAGGTATCTTTAGCGGTGTTAAATTTTAAGCAGTATTAAAAAGTATTCAAGAAGAAAGTATCTAGAAAGAAATACGCTTTATTGCTTTGTTAATACTCTTTTTTTACGTGCCATTCTAATAAATTTTTATAGTAACACGTCGTCGCATTGCGTGCATACTTGCAATTCGAGATGCATTCGCGACGTTATTCCTTGACCGAGAGCATAAAGTACGTGGTGATACTTGAGTGATATACCCTCGCGAACCGCGGCTGAAGTACGGATGCTCGCGCAGAACAACGGAAAATTAACAATTCCTGCTTAATTGAATGACTGATGACGCGATGCGTAAAAAGTCTCGCTGAACATCACGCTCCGGTCTCGAGTGCCGGGCGAATTTGTGAAGCAAATAGGCCCCTTATTATGCCCGCGTTGCATACATCATCTCATATGCAATTCCGGTGCATCGGCGCGCATCGCGGCGCGAGAGGGAGTTAAAGAAGAGCGGAGTTTGTGACACGAGGGCGGTCGACCACTTTTAATCTCACCCCGGTAGCGGATCTCACGCGTGTCTGATTGAACAAAGCAAGCTAAGTCTCGAAAGGCTCTTTAAAACATCAAAATAGTGAAAGTTTGTCTCCAAGTTACGATGTACTTGAATTTATTTTAAATTGTGTTTTTAAGACAAACAGATGCCAATAAGTTGCATCGTGAAGTCGAGGCTAATTTAACGAGACTCTGTAATAATTCTCAAGATTTATCGGTATCGTCCTAAGATGGGACATTCGGAGCAGGTTCTCTCTCCGTTCTCACTCGAATTTCACGCAATCGTTAATCCGTACATTTCCGTTCGCGCGTCGACAAAAGAAAAGCCAACTACAATCCGCCTTTGTGCGTGTGTAAGTACCATAGGGATAAGCTCGCCCTAGCCCCAAAACTCTCTCGGTTGATCTAACAGCTCGCTGGGGGTTGCATTCATGACTATGCTCGACACCATTGGGGATCTTTATGCGCGATTTCGTCGAGGGTTACCGTCATCGTAGTACCACGGTTTGAACGAGCTATTTGTCAAACATTTTCCTCCACGAGGAAACTGCCTTCCTCGGTTAGCAAGTGCAAGGTATATTCGCAGGTCCCTTCACCTTCTCTCGTCTCCTCCCTTCGCTTCAGAACAATAGCGTCGTCGTTATTGCCCGAGCATATGTCGAAAGTTTAGTGATACCCGGGAGAGGATAATATGAGCAGTTTTACTCGATTTCGGAAAATTAAGGCATCGCCGTTCATAAATCGGGATTAGTGTCTATACGCGATTTTTCGCATTTTCACGACAAATTGCGTAAATCTGATTAATAGTTTCGACAGTGTAACATACTGACTGAAATTGATTCTTGCTGCACACATATTTATGGTTTGTTTGAAAAAGCGAATAGTGGAAGAAAAATTATTTTTATTTTATCTGGATTTTATTTTTCAGATACCTATTCACGCGTACATAATAACATGATATAATTTAATATTATTTATTGTATAATATATGTATCTATAATATTGTATAACTTCAGTCATTTTCTTTAATTAATTTACGAGTTAGGGGCTTATTAACAGTATTAATCAAAATTTACTTAATGAATTAATTTAAAAATTATAAGATAAGAAAGCTAAAATCAGGGTAAAAAATCAGGGTAAAATTTATCACAACTTATACTCTATTTTTATCATTTTTATCCATTATTTTAAAAAAATTATAAATGTTACCATTACTCTACTTTTAAATACAGGTATATATAGGTATACAGTTAAATATAGGTATAATGTGGTTTTTGTTTATAAATTTTTTGTAAAACATTGATATATGTTAAAAATGATCGATAAATCGTTGAAAATGATTAAAAGAAATAGATGAAAAGCATAGCATTTTTTCTAGACAGACTGGATACGAGCGAATTTTACCATCTGTCCGATGCGTTTCCTTTACGACTGAACGTGACTGTGACAATTGCGTCCCTACTTAGCTGATCAAACTTTATCTCTTATTTAGCATTTGGTTTTGTAATTATATATACATATATATATATATATATATATATATATATATATGTATAT